AGCTGTGCCCCTCCAAAAAGCCTCCTGTGCACTGTCTTGAATGACACCAAATCCACACCCCGAGCAGAAAGTGATTGCTCAAGGCTTGCTCTTCTCTTTGCTCCTGTCCCACCATCTCCCCTTACTGGTCCTCTTCCCATCCCCTGTGCCCAATCTTCTCTCAATCCTATTTTCTGCTGTAGCCCAGCCCCAGCATCTGTTCTAACTACTACATCCATCGATGATTTCACCTCAGGACTAACAAAACAGAAAAACTGGCTCAAAGTTAACTTATTTCTTCTATCTATTAAACTATCTGACATCTTCCACACAAACAGGCTGTGCAACACAGCTGACCATCTTTTGACTATGCAGAACCTGGTGAGTCCTGGCGCCGTAAGTTTTGACCTGGCCAACCAGATCCACTTCTCCCCTCCCTTACAACAATGATCTCAAAGAGTAGGATTTGGCCCTGTGACAAATTCAGATAATGATATTACAAAAAAAAACCCAACAAGTTGTCATTTAAAGGCAACCCAGCTTGCTGGGGCACAAGTTTTATCTTCTTTTTCATCCACACCCTATCCAGAATCAGACCCACCACTTTGAGAGAAATTCCCCTCCTCTGGCCTGGATCTAGGCTAAGAGTTAACCTGATGTGAGCAAAATGCAAAAATCTATTTCAAATAGTGACGAAATGATAATGTCTGCCTTCACAGAAAGGCTGGGCAAGGGAAATGCTTTATGCCCACCACTCTTAATGGCATAGTTCACTTGATGAAACTCAGGCACATTCAAAAGGGACTCACTTCACCCCAGGATAAGGCTTTTCAGCTTTAATCCTCCTTATTCTGGTGTAACAGAAGCAAAGGCTGCTTTCCTACACATAATCACAGTACGATTTATCATCTTGATCACCAAATCCAAGGATAGATGGTGTTTTCCCATCTGTACCAGTTCATTGTAAAAATCAAAATACAGACCTGGTTCTCTCCCTGCTGTATTTCTCTACATCTCCAGTCTCCTCCATCTCCTGGTTTACACAGCAAGCAGGTTCAAGCTTACCATGCAGATCTGCACACAGAAATGCCCCATTTGAATTTCCATCTGTCAACAACATTAAAGCAGAACCACCACGGCAATTACAAGTGTACACAATAATCTTGTCGTCCAGTGTCTTCAGCGTATCCCAGAATGCATTAAGATAGTGCCAGGAGAGATTCAGCTCTGTTGGCTCAGCTGTAAATCTGCAATCTGTACAAAAAACACCCAAGTGTCAATCAAAAGACATTATGGTTCACAATGCATAATTTAGCTACTATGCTTGTCAGGTTCTCCACACTGCTCTTCTACCCAATGGTAAATGTGTTCATGAACCCAACTGTCATCAACAAAGGAAAACAGCACATGGAAATAACAGGCTACAGGAGGCAAGAGACCTCTTTTCCTTCCATGGGTAAAGGAATTGCTAGTAAGAGAAAGTTTACTTAGACTTAAATTTTCAACGCTCAATGGGTAAAACATCCTAAGGGATGGAGGATGTTGAAGAACAACCACATCAGCTCTGTGCTGAGGAGCAGGACAGTGCTTGGGTAAGACAGAGGATGGGATAAGTGCTGTCCCTATTTCTAAGCAGGCTAATATAAAAGAGGAATTTTAATTAACTGATGGAACGTCTATGTTACATCCCAACCCCATAGTGCAAAAACCAAATCCTACTACACCACCACAGCCTTGCCACTGTCAATGAACTTTGATGCAAGTTGCCCTTCCTCATATGAATCAGAATTGCTGAGAGGCCTTGTCAGAAAGGACGAAAATTTCACACTCAACTACATCAGGCAGTAGCTACCCACTGGTCTACACCATAGTTAATATGCAATGAAAAAAAGAAATCTCTGTCCTAGGACGTGACTTTAGAGCTGATCAGTGCCAAAGCCTACAGACCATAAGGACAGCTTCACACTTGCCTCAGCTAGTTCATGAATAAACATCCGATTCATTCAAATGAGTTCCATATTAACTAATTTAAATAATTTTCATTTTGCTTTGAATGGTAAACAGATCTATTCTGCCAGGATAGCTGAGTTTGCAATTCAAATTACACACCGATTTGTAATGAGAAAAATATAATTAATGGCAAAGCTTGATGTAACTACAATTTTACTCCTTTGATTTCCTGCAGGGAAGGAGGGGGTGGAGAGTGAAGCTTGCAGGCACACACAAGCTCACACCATCCTTTCGTTAGCCAATACATTTTATTGCAAACTCAAGTATTTGGCTTGAGCAGTCCTATTCTAGCGCATCGCATAATGTCATGGGAGGACGTAACATGACTTGACATTATACTCGCAGGCACCATGATGCAATACTAACATCACCCAATAAATAATCACGTAACAGTATGTAAATTAAATTACTTCCTTGTATTGGGATCATAAACAATAATAATTTGGCAGCTGCCCCTTAGAATGATGAACATTAAATCAAAGCTCTGTTGAGCTGCTAAACAGAACTGGCCCATTTTTGCACATCCCTCTCCCATCTAATGAAATTCTTCGTCCTATCACCCTGCACCATTCTTGTCTGGTATCCCATTTATAAGACAAGCACCAGTCAGTCCAATCTGACTTGTAAACAGAAACAGAGCATTGTCCCAGTGCTGGTATTTTGCCCGTTAAACAAGTTCTCTTTGGCAGATCTGCTTCTTAATCAAAGCCCTCAGCTCCTGATTAAAATAAAATCTTAACAACAGAAAACTGGCCCTGGCCATACTGTTTGCATGGTCTTGCCAACAGATAGCCTCACTGTAATCAAGGTGTGCTGAACCAGGTCCTTAGAAAATACGTCCATGCAATTGGAAGCTGGCTTTCATTTCTTCCAAAGGTTTGACAACAAAAGAGCGTGCAATGCTGAAAAGGCAAAAAAAAACCTCCCCAGAGTTCACTGAAAACATCACTTTCTCTATAACCAATGCACAGTCTTATCCTGCAGGCTTCACCAGCTAAAACTCTCAGCACTGCAATGAAGTTTGGGTCATTAGGAGATATGCTCACTAAGCAGCAAAGCACAGGACAAACCCCAGACATCTACGTACAACAAATCTAGCGCTCACAAGCTGGTCAGAGCTCAGTTCTCCCTACGGCAGACAAGGGCTACTCTTGAAAATCCAGCCTCTTCCTTGTGGTGTCCCAACAGCAGCTACAATCTTCGAAAGCCCACCTTTGACCACAGGCTGAACCCCACAGGCAAACACCCAGAGAAGATTTATGAGCACGTTTAGGACCTCTCTCTTTCCCAAGTGAGAGAAGTCCTGAAGGCTCAAATCCTCCTGGGCATTTTAGATGCCTCATTTCAAAATACAGCTCAAGCTCTTAAATGCTTAAATCGCTTTTGAAATTGCAACTTATGCATTTTATTTTTATTTCTGAAAACTACACTGAGATACCTTCAATATAGCTTATTCACTAAGAATGGGAGAGAAAAAAAAAGCAAAACTAAACAAAACAAAGCAGGGCAGTTGTCCAAATTTAAGACCCTGGCATACGGTTCATCATCCAGCCAGAGGAGACAGGAGGCATGACACACTGCACATTCGCAGTCATTCAAGGAAGACAATTCCCATGAAGTAGCCACAACCCAAAGAGCAGATTCCAACATTTCCATGAAAAGCAGTTGCCTCCAGTTATAAAACAATCGTTATTTTCTATTACAACAGTCGATAAGATCTCTTACCCCTTGACCCTGGCATTTTGAGATTTAGTTTATAGCACTGTACACCTTTCTGGTAACATTGACCATAATCCACGTTATAAAAGGTAGTTTAAGAGACCAATAAAACAAAATACCTAAGTCCTCTCACATCAGTTTGATTTACTAGTGCTAAGCCAACAGATTTCTCAACCATATCTGTCTTCAAGAATGCTTTTTTTAAAAGCAATCAATCCTCTGTTTATTCAAAAGACACAGACCAGAACAAAAAGATAAGCTCAAAGGTTCAGCACACACAAGGCAGGAATGAGTCCATTTCAGCTGTGATTCAAAGACCGTGCCGACAGCTCACTTCAGTGGGAAGTCAGGCAACACCTACACCAGGAGAAACAACACATGGCGCACAAATGGCATATATATGTTTTTCAATGGTCACATTCAACAGAAAGCAAATGAACAACTTCAGCAGCAAAATCCTCAAATGAGACTTTTCTTAAACACATGCACAAGCCGGAGGCTAAATATTCATCTCTTCTTCCCCAACCCAGAACAAACGGGATATATAGCAGGAATACACATGAGCAACATACATATGACAAGTATAACTCTGCTTGGAGCTACATAGTGGTAAGGATCCACAGCTGATCTGTCGATGTACATAGCTAAAAAACCCCACCATTTTTCTTCCACGCTGGGGATCCAATTGCATTACTAACAAACTGTTCCACACGGGCCACTCAGTAACCTACAGCTCTTGTATTCAGCTTTTGTGCACTGAAGAGCTGATAATCAGGACATGCCCTAGCCTATGATGACCGAATTTACTATCTTTAATCATGTGTATTTACCACTGGAATTAAAAGCTGCAAGAATCTGGCAATGGAAGGTTTTAAACTGTCAGAGTAAAACACTTGAGTGCAGAGTCAACATCTGATGTTGGTTACACCCAAAATGATCTTGCTTATTTCCGTTTATTCTCACTCTAAATTTCACCCCTCCTTCCTACAAGAATAGGAGAATTTTCTCCCCTAGCTGAAAATCACAGATTGGCAATTTAACAGTAAATTCCCCCATTAAGACAGTTTCCTGCAGAAGTGCCTTCTGTTATTACCAACTAGAGCAAAAATGCCTTTGCTAGAGGCTGACTGGCAAACTGAATCACCCATCAACCCGTGGAGACCTGACCCTGACTGCATCACCCAACTTCAGCTGAGGATCTGGAATACCCTTTCCAAATTTGACTGCAAGTCTGGAGATTAACCACCAGCCCAGTACTAGAGCACAACCCTAACAAAACACACAGAACTCACCATCTGGAGGCATCAGGACCTTGTTATTCTGCGTGCACCAGCCAACGGGGTGAAGATCTGCTGTCATCACGTCACACCAGAAATCTGCCCTGCGGTCATCTCCATAGCCACAATAACGAAGCAGTAAGAGCTGTCCACATGTTGTAATGATCGTAGCCACCCAATATGTGTCCGGATTGCTCTTATTGGCCACTTCTAACTTCATCCCTGGTTGGAAACTGCTTTGAAGGCTGATTTCAACCTTACAAAATGAGAAAGGCAAGGTGTTACCTTTTCTTCTTTGCAAGAAGACCCCCCCTCCCCAGCTAAGCAAGATAATGCTGCCCTTAAAGAGCAGCTCTGGGATAGGACACGAGTTGATTGTACTCCTCAACCCAACCACCTCCTTCACAATCTGTCCGGGTAGGACCATCCATATACTTCATTGGCATATACCCCATCATGCAACGTCCCACATGCTCCAAAGAGGCCCTCCACGAGTGGCAACCTCAGGTGCATTACATCTGAGAGAGGACTGGTACCCATCTTCACATCATAAACCTCACTAATACCTGGGGGAAAGGTGGTGTAACTCAAGTGAAGTCGCATTTCCCACTGCACAGCTCCATCAGGCGAATCACAGGACACATGCGAGGCAGAAAGGCAGGTACTAAACACCTCTAGGAGTTAAGCCCAACTATAATAATTAGCAGTATAACAACACTGAAGCACCTCTTGAGGCTTGACAAGCATCAAGGGCTGAATGCCGTAAGAGGCAGACCAAGAAGAGTGATTCTCCTAAATCCATCCACAGCAGATCAAGTCTCAACCAATTTGCTCTCTGGTAAATAAGGCACGACCCATCACTGAAAGATGTTAACAGTTTGGGTCACTGTCTTGCCATCTGAGAGCATCTCTTCTAGGACACTGCAGGGACTGCCGTTAAACACTAGGGCCTGCTGTGGGCACACAGTGACGCATCTTCCAAGGGCCAGTGGGACGTCTCTAGCTGCTGTTGGTAAAGAACAGGTGAATGACTGGTTCAGGTGCCAGCTATGTCTTCAGAAAACCATCCAAAACATAGCCTGTTACTCCCTATGAGATGCTCGAGGCCAGGTTCCTACAGGTTTCTTAGTACTTTATCTCATCCTGAAAACAGAGAGATTGTAAAGTCTGGTTTAAACCTGTCTCTGAATAACTTCTCATTTAAATGACAGGTTAAAATGCCTCTTTTACTCACAAAGATAAATATAATATGGTCTGCTTGGCCACCTGAGGACTTCTCAGACTTGAGGATGACAAGTTGCAGAGAAAACACTGAGCTGCTCTGAGGTGTCGCTAGTACTGCCTTACTCATCCAGCTCCAGCTTATGACACAAGGGCTGCCCAGCCAAAGTCATTTATTATTTGCAGGTTACAGCACTCCATGTGCCTTTACTTGTGCAGGCACAAGCATCAGCATCAACGCCTGGAGTCAAAGCATAGTTGAGGTTGGAAGGAAACACTGGAGATCATCCAAGATTGAAGAAGGTCAGTGACATTTACCGCTTCCCTTAGTGGCAAGAAAGGATCTTAGCTCTTCTGATGCTAAGGGTCCTCATTTATAATGTAGGATACATGTTCCTTTGTTGATTTTCTCCTTGTGCTCACCATAAGTAAAGACCAAAGTGGTATTCTGGAGGCAAGGGTCTTGGGACTGGAAATCACAAAAAGAGAGGAATCAGACAGTATAACTTTCTCTGACAGCTTTCAGGTTCCTAGTCAACCAAATTTTTTGGTGGACCAAGTTCAAGACTGTGAAGCAGAGTGGCTAAGGACTGTTCCCCACACTTGGATCGACAGTCCTAGTCCTAGTCGATGGAGATGCTGTGAGACACCACAATCAGCACCATCAGCAGGATGAGGTGGGCATCTCCACACACCTAAAGACATCTTTAAGGGCTTCATGAAGCACAGAACTTTCACCTGGATTTGGTATTTGGTTCAGGGGCCAGAGAAGAACCCTGGAACAAAATTCTCTCTCCAGACAGTTGCTGGACCAAGGATAAACTCTATAATAAAACTTCGGCATCGCTCTGTAAGTCTCCACTATAGAGAAGTATGGTCCTTTGTCCTGCACTACTCTGCTGTTATTAAAATGGAAGCAAAACAGAGGGTGGAGGATTGTATTATTTTTTTCAGATGTAGCTGGAAGAGAGGCTTTTCATCACTGCATCTCCTTACTCCTTCGAAGCAAGCAAAGAAACCACCTGGAGACAAAGGTCATTTAACTGTGTGAATGCAGTCATCCAAGCAGAGACTTCTCCTAAAGTACCAACAGGTTCTTCAGGAAGCTTTCTTCAATGCTGTACAACTAAACTGTTCCCAAAAGACATCTCTGCCACCAAACAGACTCAGTGCAAAGCAGTCCAGAGACCCTCTCTTCATGATGAAGATATCCACATCCCCCGGACCATGCAAGGCTGAAGAGGAGCCAACCAATGAGCCACTGTAGCAGAACAGGTTACAGCTCTGATGGGTTGGGTAGCAGGATGAGCAGCACCATCTTCAGGGGACTTGCAGCTGAGGACAGAGAACCACCACGATTTGTCATGGCTCAACTCAGACCATCATAACACCTTCCCATAAGGCCCCAACATCTCTGACAGCAGAATCTTGTAGTTGAATGACAAAGATGTCCTGGAAAAATCTACCAGTGAGGACACACGTGCATGCTCTTGACTGTGATGAAGAACTCATACATCAGCTTAACTTCTATCCCATGTCCTTATGTGACATTACACACGTGGAGCTGAACAGAAGAGGTTGAACAACTGCTGGTGGATGGAGAAGCTGCTCCCAGACAACCGTATCTTTAACAGTGATGGGCTCTGCTTGGAGACAGAATCCTTCTTCCAAAGCATGCTTCTTCATCATTCAAGATACCAGAGATTTCAAATGCTACTTGCGTTAACACAGACCAGAGCCAGAAACAATGCTGTAATTACCATGGCTGTCTACATGAGCGATGTTCACCCAGGAAAAGCACCACACCTACCCAAGTACTTGGTTCTCATGCTCCTGAGACAGCATCTCCAGGCAGGAGGCTGAGAGATGGTTTCCTATGGGCCATGCTGGGCTCTAGAGCTGAGGGACCCTGCTAGTCAGTAAACCATGCGTTAAGAGGACAGCTTTGGAGAGATAAGGCACTCTTGTGAGATGAATCTCTATGGGTTGGGATGGACAGCAATGAATAAATAAGGAGAGGGAAAAATAGATGAAGAGTAAAAATGAGTGCATTATAAGGAAAAGTAGAGCCCTATAAGTCCTCAAAAATAGAAAATCTGAACCCAAGGCAAAGGATAAGGCAGTGGCACAGGCACAGCCCTCCAAGCTGTGATTGCAGAAGATGCAAACACCCCGAGTTCACCTCACACCAGCTGGGGGGCCATTCCTACACAGGTTGTCGCACATGCAGAGGGACAATTTCTCCCCAAAATGGTAAGACCCCACTTCAGTTCTCCAGGGACCCCCTGAAAACCAGAATGCATGCAACGCCCGCAAGGCTCAGACGAAGAACGTACATGTTTGAAGGAGGTGTGGGGAGCAGCGCTGGCTCCTGTTTCCTCCAGGAACTCATCCCAGTTGAAGTCTGCATCCTCAATGCTGGAGCCCTCATCTGTTCAAAAGCAGAGGGAAAAAAAAAAAAAAGAAAAGAAAAAGAAAAGCAGCTTAAAACACAGCCAAAGAAGGCAAAAATTGTGTCAAAGTGTTCAGGGTGAGAATAGCAACCAGTATAAACATCAACACAACAGAAACCAGAAAGCTTGTTTTAAAGATCTGTGCTTATCTGTTTCAACCAGCCCTTAACTGCTGGTTAGTGACTCTGCTTTCCCAGCAGTGGGGGAACAAACCCATCATACTGCAACAGGCACTTGTGCTCTTTTTGTACAGCAGTGTCCTAGTGATAATATTAAAAGCTGCTTCTGTTGACTGAGCAGTGTGTAGAGCAAACACCCCAGCCCTTGGGACTGGGGAACCCCATTTTCAGCCCTGCCACCCTTTCTCTCCTTCCTCAGCATCCCTCCACCCAGAAATCTCTAAGCCTGACTCTTCCCCCAAGACTACAGCTGCTTTCCCCCAAATCCCCCAGCACCCTTTCTCTCCTTCCTCAGCATCCCTCCACCCAGAAATCCCTATGCCTGCTTTCCCCCAAATCCCCCAGCACCCCTCACCAGACCACTACTGCCTTCTTGCTCCCAGCCCTTGTTCCTGCCCCATCGCAGATTTGGGGCTCTGCATCATGCCTCCCCCATCCACACCACTGTCCCACACAATCCTTCCCCACAGCAAAGGACTTGACTTTTTTTTTTTTTTTAATAAACATACTGCTTAGAGCAGAGCTGAGACCTCAAACCATCGCCGAAACACACACAGCAACAATTAAAAATAAATCTTCCTTCACTTATAGAAAATCAGCCAAATCTGATTGTTTTCATTTTGTTCCCAGGCAATCTCGCAAACCCAGCTTCATCCCCAGAGCAAAAATATTTACAGTCTAGCAACAAGCTCTCTGAAATAAGCATTTATCAGGCAAACTCTGCGAGACCCTTACCTGCCCAAACATTTATCAGCGTAGTCATGATGTAATTAAAGTGACTCATGACAAACTGAATTAAGAAACCTCCCCAGACAGTTTTATGAAGAAAATAGCAGGGTTAATTTATTGCAATTATTGCTACAGGACTCCAGTTTTTCAGGACCAGAAAATTATGTTGTGCCATGGGAATCTCTCATTATTAAAAGGGGAAGACATAAGTTTTACCTGCTGCCTAAGGAGCCAGACATAGAGAGGCAAGGGGAAAAAAGTGGATCAGAAGAGGGTTTTTGAGACAGAGCTGGTGGAGGGTAAAGAACTGCCAGGGAGTTCAAAGAGGAGTGCTGAGCTGTCATCGCCGTTAAACACTTTGCACAGCGCTGCATCAAGTCTAAGGTCGGATTCCTTACCTTAAACTCAATTAACCTGCTTAAATATGAAGAAGTAAATCAACATTTACTCCCATGATAAAGCGGCTACCACATGACTTTTCAACTCAGCAAGACAAGAAATAACCCAACTCTATGATTACAACCTGAAAATAGAAAATTCAACGTAGAATAAGGGATGGGCTTTGTTTTGTTTTTTGCAATGATTGCAAAAACTTCCAGGCATAGAAACAGACTCCGTGTAAGATACTTGACCAAAAATTAGGGGTTTGTTCATTCTTGGCTGTAAGATAAGCCATGGCTTAACCACAAGATAGGAGCATCATGCAGAACTTGCTCTTTCCCTCATCTATATCATGAAGGCAAGCAACTCAGATGATCAGGAAAATTTTTCAGCATTAATGTTTCAGAGAAGAGTCAGGTCCAGAGATTTCAAAGGCTGAGCCTCTACAATAAAGGATGTCAGTCTGTGAGTAGATGGGCAGATATGCTTAATCCATCCTGGGATCAAAATTACTCTGATGCTTAAGCAACTTTCTACCCTGAGCACAACCAATCATAGAATCATGGAGTGGTTTGGGTTGGAAGGGACCTCAAAGATCATCGAGTTCCAACCCCCTGCCATGGGCAGGGACACCTCCCACTAGCCCAGGTTGCCCAAAGCCTCATCCAGCCTGGCCTTGAACCCCTCCAGGGATGGGGCATCCACAGCTTCTCTGGGCAACCCGGGCCACTGCCTCAAGTCCTCCTGTACTTCATAATCTTCTTATGCATGACCTACCCTGCCACATGCCAAAATAGAGAGACTCACTGGCCCCACTGTTCCCACAGCCCCACCAGCAGGTTCATTCACACGCAGTCCAGCAAAACTCACAATGGCACCTGTTTAAAAAAACCAACACCCAGATCTTTCCTTTCTAAACCCAAATAGGGGCTTCAAGACCCCAGGGGGGAGACAGTGTGAGAGGTGCAGCCTTCCTTCCCTGTCAGTTCATTTCTCTCTGACACATCACAAGTCTGACCCCTCCACAGTGTTTTATCTGCAGACTTTATCAGGAAATTACTTTTACAAGGTCTGTAAAAATAATGTCAGAGAACTCATTTATCAAGGCATCAGTGTTTTATTTTGCTTCACTTTATCACAAAGGATTTTGAAGGGATGGTTAAGTTTCCAAAATGCTTTTATTATGGATTCTGTTCCCTTCCAGAAAGCTGGCAGCGGGGCATCCAGAGCACAGACATCATGGCCCAAGGATGAGACCAGCCCAAGGGACCCACCCCATCCACACACATAATGGGACTGCGCTCAAACTTTCTCGTCCATTAGAAAAGCCCTACTGCTGAGGAGCAGAGGACACCTCTTCCCAACCTCCCTCAGTTTGCTGGAGACCCCCTGAGACAACACATTTGGCGTTATGCCTATTTTACACACTGGCTCCCTTTCCAATTATTGGTACTTAGGCCCAGTGCTCTTCCATAATGAAAGAGTCAAGGCTGGGTAGGCTACAATATGCTGATGTATAAACAAGCCCAGGATGGCAAATAAAATCAACAAGTCATTCTCTGTGAGCCTTTCAATACCTTTAAAGTGCTAGTGCATTGACACTATAAAAATGCCACTGTTCCAGCTGTAAACAGCCTCTCAGGATGTTTAGCTATGGGAAATAAAAGGGGATAAAAGACCCAAAACCTGTGGCTCCAGAAACACAGATTTTTCCCAAGCTTCACTGAAGAAGAATGTATTTGTGGCAAATTGCTCAGCCATCTCACCTGCAGCACATGGACACATTCACAACTTCTTGAGTGAACAGAGAACTGAAATGCTTTAGCAGTTCACACACCAAGCATGATCAGGGGAGAACCTAATCAACCACAAGCCTCTGGCATAGCCCTGGGCTGGTCACCAAGATCTATATACCCAAAGAAATTCAGGCACCACAGGCCAGTTCTTCTCATTCCAAAACAATGTGTATGGTTGGCCAACTGAATCTCACCCCAGAGGCTCCTACCTGTCTCCCATGGATATAAACGGATCCAATGGTGACTAGATCAGGCTGCAGGTGTCCACTCTGCAAACATCTGCATTAGAGGACATGATCCCCACTGAGAGTGAGAGGTCTGCATTATGTGAGCAACAAGGGTTGAGAAGTTCCCCTCTGCTCCAACCAGGGTGAGCTTTCTTCATCCTCAGTGGGGAGAAACAGGCAGCTGCAGATGGAAAATCAACCCAAAGGCAACCCAGCACCTGACTTGCTTTCTGGAGCTGTATCTTTCTCTCCACTGGTGAGACAGGAAGCATCAGATGACTAGCTTTCATGAGGTGTTTTAAGACACTTTAGCTCCAGATTCAGATGTTTAACTCTAGATGACCCTCAGCAGTCATCTCTGAGTCACACTATCGAAGAGAGGCTCTTTCTCTTGCATGTCTGTGGGAGAACCCAGGGCAACATTTATGTTCTTACCTAACATAAGAGTGTCCCGCTTCCTTCAGGTAGGATGAATCCAGGTTTCTCATCCTCCTCACAAAGAGACAGTGCAGTTTTGCTTTATGCTTTGCCTCTTCCTGGATGCCTAGAGACATCCATTAGATGAGGGCAACCATCTGTCATCCCCCACCAGGTAAGTACCTATCACTAACTATTTCTGGTTCAGGGGTTTCCTTGAGACAAACATGCTTTCTAAGCAGTTAGTACACTCCATCTCTCGTCCATAAGCATGTCCAGTTCACCTTTGAAGTCATCTGAAACAACCAAAATCACTGCCTATACCATGGAAAAAACCCAAAACTTTGGCTAGGCTAACAACCCCACAGCACAGGAAAGTTTCCACCTCTCCGTGTCCCATCTAACATGCAGAGCTTAAGAGCCCAGTTGAATCTGTAAGCATCATGGCAAGACCAATTGGACTACCCTACATCTCAAACACGTTTTCAGTGCAATACAGCCAGCTTGCATTTTTTATAATGACATCCATCTCATTTTTCCCTACTCCTTCTGACCTCTTGAAAGCCCACCTGCATTTCCATCCCAACTGCACAAGCATAAAGCAGTTACTTGCTAAAAGCTGCCCAGGCAGCCACCAGCAACCTGCAGGCCAGATGTGCCACCCTTGTTTATTATTTTAATGGCAAAAGTTGTAGAAGACGGTTGCTTTGCACAAGGGGCTGTGCAAAGCAGCCCATCCTCACCCTAAAAAGCATACAGACACCTCAAGGACCACAGCTCACAGTGAAAACTGCGACTGGCCTTTGAATCTTTGCCACGGTCATTAATGGGTTGGGAGCAATGTAAGACCATGCCATAGAGCAAGGATAAAGTTAAAAGTTATAGCTGAGGCAAATTCAAAATTCAGTGCCACAGGGAGAGGTCCCATTCCCACCAGCATGTGCTCTGGCCCTTCCTCTTCCTCCAGCCAGTTCAACTCACAAAGATGGCAGAAAATCATTCTGCTGGGTTAGCGAGTGGACTGACTCAGCCTGGGGTGTGATGGGCAGCAGAGGTGGTCTAAGAGAAGAGATGGCATAAAGAAGGGTCTCCCATTTTGGCATCAGAAAGAAAGTAGACTGGGTCTAGCCATAGTGTGCAACTTCACCATAACATACAATCTCCTCCTGTTAAGGCGTTATGGGATGTTAAAGCACACAATTCCAGCAGAAATCACCAGAAGCTAGCGCTTATTTTTCTGTATCACGACACCCAAATTTAGTGCCTTTAGGTGCCCATCCCAGAGCATTACAGAGCACCCAGTCATACCCATGAGCATAAGTACAACATGTGACCAGCTCTCCGCTGGCGGGACTAATGTTCGTGAACATTAAAAAAGCACTCAAACTAAATTAATACAGCACTCAAAAAAGTCTGAAGGATATGAGGGTGAAGGTCAAAACAAAGGAGAATAGTTGTAATTTCTGAACATTCATTTCCTCTCTTTAACCACAAAACTCCAACAAAATAAAAGAGGGTGGGGAAACAGAAAGAACACAATATGATGTGCTGGGAAAGGTTTTCCATTGCTTTTTGTTTAAATTTTGAATAGCTGCTACATACTGTAGGAAAGATCCAGAAGAAGAAAAGCTCAAATTTCCAAACCCACCAACTACGGGACACAGTCCAATCCCTAAGACCCAAAAAAGGCCTTCAACCTGTACAACCTTTCCCATTGCTCCCCTGGAAACACGACTGTCCCCACCCCTACCAGTGACCAGTTGGAGGGCTGTACCAGTGAAGACAACTCATGGGGGGTGAAGGAGAGCTCACCTGAATCAAACTGCTCCATGTTGCCATTGGCTGGGCTCTGACCCTTCTCTGGGGAGAGATGCTGGGTCTCTTGCATGGCGGCGATGAAGGATGCCCTTGTCTCCATGGCTTAGAGGAAGAGGCCTTGCCTTCCTAATTCATCCTGCAGCAGGGAGCGCCTAGAGGATGAGCTAAAATTAAAAGAAAAAAAAATTACTGATTTGTTCTACCTACACCAACCCATTCCTTCAGCCTTTCCTAACGGTTTTTAAGTTATTCCATGGTGATTGTAACTCTTCAATCATGCTCTCTCCTCCACAGTGAGCCTAGAGTTGGATGAGGAACCACAATGAAGGACATCTCCCCTTAGTGGCAATAATATCAAAGCAGCTATAACAACAACATACAAGATAATGAGGTAATAAACTACACCCGTAGTGTTCAACACAAAGGATCCACATCTCAAAGTTCAGTCCAGCTCCTTGTATCACCAACAGAGAGAGAAGAACCAGCCCATAAGGGGGAACAACCCATGACAAAAAAAAAGGCACCCAAGAAAGGCCAACTCAACCATCCTCCAACAAGTGCAGCTCTTGGCATTGAACTTTTTGATGGCTAACACTGTGTGAGCTCTCTCTCACTCCATAAATATTCAAACTTCTAAAGGGGGATATTTGTGGTAACGAAACAGAGGAAACACTGAAGGAAGAATACTTGTGAGAGACAGAAGTAATTCTAGAAAATAAAGTTCAGGATGCAAAACACAGACACCTTAACGAAATAGTGCTGGCTGCAACTGTTTTTCAAAGGAGGAGTGACCTAAAGTAACTGCACCAGTTAGTACCATGCAGTGTAGCAAATATTAACTCAGGTGTAGATTGAGTTATGTTGGCAGAGGAGATTCTTCTAGAAGGAATGACCATAGTAAATACAAAGTGAAATAAAAACACGTAGAGATGAAAACTGATATGAGAAAAGGAATACAGACTGACTAGATCTTGAATCAGACACCAGGCTAAATGAGAACTATGTTTCTACCTACAGAAAGCCACCAGACAAGCAATACCTAGAGATATACCCCTAGGAGTAGATTAAAAAGAACTCCAAAGCGAGCTTTTCTGTAAAACTCTCTGAGAGGGTGATGAATTACAAGGTGTCAAAGGAGGACTGAAAACGGAGAAACCAAGAGCTTGGGTTATGGGCACAGAGGGAACCAGCTATTCACACAAGATATTCTAAAGCAAAGACAGATAGTAAGGAAGCTGTGTGTCCAGAATATACGATATGGAGGATTGGTCCCGCTTATTAGTGGATGCCTCCAAGACCTGCATGACAGAGAGGACTATGCTGGCAGCACTGATGCCAAATGCCCTGTAAGAAGCGTGACTAAAAGTAGGGAAAAAAATTACTGCTGGAGGCCAGGCAAAGCAGGAGGTAATAAGATTGTAAAAATATTATGGGATTTTTTCAACTTTTACTACTCAAGAAGCATATTCAGGAAGACCAGATATCATGGTTATAAAAAAGAAAGAGGGAGAGTGCACTGTCATAGATTTTTCGTTCCCAGTTTTTAAGGCTGTTCCAACAAAAATTGCAAGGAAGAAATGGACAAGTGTGAGCAGTTACAGGAGGAACTGAAAAAGATGATGAGCATGTCAAATGTAAGTGTGACATCCATTAACCGAACCATGGTGGGACTGTCTGCTGGAGCAATCACAACAGCATCATGGTGGCTGCAATTAAACCATGCCAAAACCATGGGTGTTTCACGAAGCATCATTCCTCACCCCAAAGGAACCTGCTAATGAAAGAAAAAAATAGTATTTTTGAAAAAGGAGACCATAAACCAATTCAGAGCAATATCCTTGTTGGTCTCTCTGCAAAGTGCTTAGTACACTTTGAGCACTCCATAAATAATAATGATCATTTCCCCACTGTGATGGCCACTACAGCACTTCATCTCTATTCTTTGTTGACACGGACTTGCTAATGAATTAAGTGTATTATATACTATGAGTATTTTGAGTGCAGCTAACCTCAGAACATATATATCACTCATCCCCAGTGTATATTAAGTTTCAATTAACTATGAAACGAGAAACAATCAGTCTACTGAAAGTCAAAAGAACACAAGTCATTTGGTAGAGAATACTTCTGTAAATATCATTAATAATTAAATGGTTAAGTATCAAGATTTTACATCAAGCTTGTCAAATGTGTATGGAGGGGAAGTGCCAGCTGAAGCTAAACCTTGTGTGGTTTCAGCTATTTTCATTTTGGCTAGGACCAGGCAATGATGGAATGTAATCTGGATCTATTAAAAAACATTTCAAAGGACAGAGAGAAACAGAGAGACCAATTTAAACACAGCAGATCAATCATCTTAAACAGAACTCAGGGATAACCATATAAATACCAAGAAGAAAGATAAGCCTCTTGGTAGTGTAGTTAAATCTTGTGATGCTCCTATGATGCTGATAAGACAAAGTTATGAGCTGATAAAAAGCTGAAGGTGTCCAATCAGATGACGACAATATTTGCTGTTTCTTATGCAGTCAAGCCCCAAATCTCCCACCAGAACCATGAGAAAGGCCCATTCTCCTGGGTCAGGGCATTTCCTGTCAGAAATGGAAAGCAGATGGGCAAAGCAGCAAGAACCTGCCCAAGGTGTTTGCAACACGGCTGTGACCCATCCTTGGAGTCCACTTCAATTAAAAGGCAGCAATGCAGAGTCTCTTGGCCAGAGTCAGCAATGTCATCAACATTTTTTTTTGTTTGTTTAACTCTATTTTAATGTATTTTTTGCTTAAGCTATGGGCAAGTTACTGGTTTTGAAATGTCATGTTGAGAGCATCCACATCCCATGAAAACCGGATCTGTCAGACGCTACAGCTTATCTTCTTATTTTGGGAATAACTCATTTACCATTTATGGGAGGAGAGCATTTAAGTATTTTTCCAATACTATGTGACAATACCAAACTCTTATGCAAACATAAGCTTCAAGATAGCTCTGAGCCTTGGTGTTGATATAACTAACTAGCAGAGAAAGCTGACATAGGGCATTAATTTTTCACTTCTTATTAATTGCTGCTAATTAGCACTTCAAACAGATTCCCCAACCATACTGTTAACAGCAGCATGCTGACTGGCCTGCCATCACCAACGTCAAACAAGCAGCACACACCGCTCTACTCCAATTTCTCCATCAGTATGAAGAAACTTGTGTCCACTGAAAAACAAATTAAGGACCACAAGCCACATTGCCAGCCTGTAAACCAGGGGATGGGAAACATCACAAAAGAGGCTCAAGGTGACACTACAATAGGCAGGAACACAAAGGAAAATTTTACAAAATGCATCTGAAAGAGCACGGAGAGGGGAAATTCCCTGGTTTCTGATCCCTTTTCATTGTCTCTGCACAGTGGTGGTTCAAACCGATCCGATTCTTCCCCCACACAGCTCCCATTCCCCTGGCATTTAATTCAGATTCCAGACTCTTAATTCACAGGCAGAAAAAGCCAGCCAATATAAAAAGGAATCTCTTTTATTTCCTCCTTCTCACGGCCGTCAGTCTCAGCCGCACTATTATCTCAAACACGCTGCCTTGTCATCTCTATCAATATTGGCTCTTTGTAAAAGTGCTGGCATTGGCTTCCTCGCCCCAATTTACATTTCTCATCTCTGTTTGATTCCACTCTGTTTTTCCTTCCTTTGGAGTAAGACCCTGTAGGGACAGTTCCCCTACCCACACATACACAGATCCAGCACCCTAGGGCTCTCCCTTAGTCTTGAAAAACTCACCTTCTCCCTGCAATACATGCTTGGTTAATTGGGATTGACACAGGCTACTGGAACAGAGGATGCAAAAGAGATCCTACATCCTTGAAACCTCCTGCCTGGATAATGCATCACTTGTGCCAACATATCGCTGAGTCCTGAACAGTGGAGAAGTAGAAATCGCCCTGCTTTCCCAGCAGTCTGGTCCTTGCCTCCAAAATTCAGTAACATCCACTGACTTGAGATGGTCCCACCTCTCAGTGAGGAGACACTTGGTGAGCACAGCAGGGCTGCAGTGAGGGCTGCCAGCATGACCCCGTGTCCTCGGTGAAGAGCACCTACCACGGATGTGGCTGGTGGAAGGGTGGGTCCACGGGCAGCTCCAGGGCTCACTACATCTCCAGAGCTTGACCCCAGGTATGTTGGGATATCAGCAATCTGGATTTCTTTTTCTAGACAAGTTGGATGGTAGCTGAACAGAGATGGCCCCAGCAGACTTTCCTGGTAAATGCACCTGCTGATTTCACCCAGTCCCCTCAACGCCAGGCACTACCATGTGCAATTTCACGTAGCCTTTACCATCTTCAGGCTTTTTGCAGGGCCATGAGTGAAAGAGCCACTGCAAAGCAATCGAGGAAACCATTGAAAAAAATGAGAACTCACTTGCCTGAACAATTAGGAAACTGCAGCAATTGGTGCCAAGGCTCTCAGGAAGCAGGACAGGACTGTGCTGAGACCTGCCCTGCCTTAACCTGATCCCAGAGCTCAGACGTCACTGCAGTTGTCTCCTCTTCCATCCTACTTCCAGAACACATCATTTTTTTATGTCCCTGCTAATGTCTCCCACCTGGCCAAATGGCTTTACATCCAGTAAAACAGTGGCACATAGGCCTGAGCAGATGAACCAAAAGCCTAGGCAGGACACAGGGGATACTGGACCAGGTTCTGACTCCATTGTTGACTTCAACTTGGAGTTTTCCAGCACAACAAATCCCCATGACACACAACAAGATATGATGCCTACCAATCCTACCCACCTCAGGTGGGATGTGCCTCACCTAGTCAATCATTTGCAGCTAACCAAGAGAACACATCTCCAAAGGGCTACTTGCATGGTCTAAGCTGGATATCTAAAGACCAGACAACATGAACAACCCTCAAGGGGTTCCTGCCTGGCACAGCATCTGCTGCGATTTCAGATTTAAGATTTTAGACACTCAAGTTTGCCAGTGTGTGTCTAAACAAAATGAAGAAGTGAGATGGTCGGACACTAAAGGGCACTGGCCCTGTACGTGGAGCAGGGAAAACGGGGACACAGCCCCCTGGGACTAAGTCTACAATTCACACAAGTTGGCCACTACAAGACTGATCTTGAATCATTCTCTCAGGTGATCCACCAAGAC